GATAGCAATTTGGCATGTAATGGTTGACTCTTCATTTTCTTTATTTTGTGAGTCTTTCAAGTCCGTTGGCCTTTTTAGTACTAGTAAAAGGAATTAAGGTACATTTTTTATTCACATATGATGTGGAAATACTTATAATTTGAATTATAATTATATAAGTAATTTGTGGCCATAAGTTATACTAGCTATGACAGTTGACATGAATCTATTTGTTGTAAGCGTGGTTAATTAATCAACTGCGTGCTTTGATTTAGTTTTTTCAGTTTACTATTGTCATTCAAGTCACTACAACTCGCATTTTCATCTATTATTGACGTTGTTACTTGAATTTAAGATCTCATAATTATAAAATTAAATCCTCGTCATATCAATTAATTTTTTTTAGACTTCAATATCTACTTAAATTTCAAATACCGAGCCACTTCATTAATGAAATCACGACAGTATGCTACTGTGTCTATATCTCTATTTTACGAGTCTTTTTTTATTTTTTATATACATAATGACATATATAAATTTCACTCGTGTAAGTGATGGCCGATTAGGTCAGCATTGCATGGTAACAAGAATGGCCAAAGTACACGTTGGCATTAAAGATGCATGGAGCAGCCAATTTTGAAAATAAAAAACACACATTATCTTTCATGTGGTACTAAGGCTGTCTGTTGATCGGTTCGATTCGGTTCTAAAGAGAATCGAATCGATCCGATCCAAAACTTTCGGGTATTTAATAAATGAAATCGTCGGGTCCAAATATAATTATGGAACCATTTAGGTTCGGTTCATTTCGATTCGATTCGATTCCGTACCATAATTAATTTTTTAAATATGTACAGCAACATTAGATAAATACAACTAATGACATTTCATTCGTAACTTTTACAAATTAACATTATTAAATAATCTGAAGATCTTATTTAGTTTCGGTTCTTATTCGGTTCTTCGGTTCTTGGTCTAGACCCGAGACCCGACCCAAACCCATCGGTTCTCGATTCGGGTACCCGTTCGGGTATTTAATTTATGATGAACCGCTCGATTCGGTTCGAGACTTTTGGACATCCCTACGTAATACAATTTCTATCATATATTCCACATATTTAAGCACTAGTTTTTTTTTTCTCTCTCTCGTGTACTTACAAGTGGACTCAAACCAATTCTATAGTTGCTAAAATTTTGATACTCAATTTTGTTACCACTGCAAATATTTTATAAAATAATACCGCTGCAAATCATCGATAATATAAAAATCTAATTTAGTAAAATTGCAAGCATGCGGGCCACTTCATTTTCCGAAAATTTATATTTATACTTGTTTTATAAATGACCATACAATGTGAATCATATATTGACATTTTTTGGTAAAAAAAAGAAAAAAGAAATTATATTGAATGGTAATAAAAAGAAAATAATTTTTTTAAATTATCATCATGTACAATCATTTCCAATACTTTATTCAAATAAACTCAAATAATTTTAATAATTATTATCATGTGATTTTAAAATTTCACAAATAAAAATAGAAAAAGTTCAAATAAAAGTTATAGCGCCATTATCATAAGCATTTACTTTGAGTAATGCTATTTATCATCGGTGATGATAATTATTAATTTAAGTGACAATGAATCACCGGTGATACTCATTCTAATGAGTTTTTTTTTATACAACATATCATTTTCCTACAGTACACGTGTGATAACACTGTTGACCCCAAAAAATGGTCACATGACGTGGCCAACAGAAGATTAGAGATTCAAGTTCTTGTAGATCGAATCGCAATATATTCGAATCTAACTACTAGCTATATTGATGAATCAATGTAGGGGATGATCCACGGCATTTATAGGTGGTTGTTATAATTGCTTGGTGCATAAAAAGGGGGTCGGCCGTTGAATGTAGCAGAGAGAATCAATGTTTACTTTGAATGTACAAACTTGCATTGTCCCCTTAACGTATGGAGTGTAGGATTTTTATATCTCATGTTGAGTGAATGAGGTTCGTCCGATGGTAAAAGATCTAATAGTTCTTATTAGAGTCAATCAATCAATCAAGTCATTAATACTTAGATTCCCTTATATTTTCCCCTGACATAAATTTGACTGCGTAGGTGTATAGAGACAGCACTGGTAGCGTGCTGTCTTGTCAATCGTTTCATTAAATCTGTTGTTGGTTGACTTACCGCCTCGTCGAGGATCCTCGTTGCCTCTGCCAACGGAGATCGGATGAGCAGGGTTTGGATTGGGATCGCTTCGGCATACATACGGTCGGATCGCCTGTTTGCTATGTCACCTGTGGGCTCGTTCGCTTGCCACGTAGAATTTATTTACAATTATTTATATGAGCAACAAACACGTTACAAGAAGTCAGATTTTTGTCAGAATAGATATAAAGTGGATTATGTTGTTGAGCCTTCATGGACTATTTTGCCCTCAGATGAAATTGAAAATTTACAACATTGCCCTCCACCATTTTAACCCTATCATTTCATTCTCACCAACCATAAATTGAAGGGCGGAAATGAAATGTTAAAAATTTTAAAATGCATCTTAAAGGCTATTTTGCATGTGGCTTCAGCAATTATAAGAGGAACCGTCCTTTTTATCTAACTTGGGATCACACTTATTTGAAAATGATTTGAAAAAATTGGAATATAATAGGTGCCAAACACACGCCTAATAAGTTAGGATCGTATAATTCATAAATAACATTATACATTTTTGCCTTTAGGATAAAAATTCTTATAGAGAGAGAGAAAGTCAAAAGCAGGCTGACAAGCAGTGACCTATACAGTTGTTATTCACGTATTAGAAAAGTCCAAGTCAAAACCTCCAAAGATAAACTATTCATGGTTCGACTTTCCCATTTGAATCTCTCTCATTTCTTCATATAAAATCAAACCACCCTCTCAACTCTTAAC